AGATTAAATCGAAAGAAAAGAATAAAGAGATTTTTAAAGAAGACTCAAAGAAGATTAAATCGAAAGAAAAGAATAAAGAGATTTCCAAAGAAGACTCAGAGAAGATTAAATCGAAAGAAAAGACCAAGACATTTCCAAAGAGGACTCAGAGAAGATTAAATCGAAAAGAAAAGAATAATAAAGACATTCCAAAGACTCAGAGAAGATTAAATCGGAAGAAAAGAATAATAAAGACATTCCAAAGACTCAGAGAAGAAAAGAAAAGAATAAAGAGACTTTTAAAGAAGCCTCGACTCACTGCTGCATGCATGCGCTGCTGCTTTGAGGGAGACAACGCCGTCAGTGTCGGCGACTGCTGCGAAAGTCGCGGCGGCGGGAAAGTCGCAGAAGACGCGGAGGGGCTTCGGGGCGCAGGCGGGGGCGGCCCAGTAGAAGCCGGAAGTGGCGAAGTTGGATTTGTTTTCCGAAAAAGAAAAACTCTTTTCGGAATAAATCTTTTGCAAAGAGTAACAGTCTTCCACGGGGTGCTGCTGCTGCAGCCCGGGCAGGGCAGGGACTGCGGGGTTCGGGTGTACCGACACCAGCTGCTCCTCTGCAAATAGAGCAACCTCAACACCAACTTCCAAACAAATGCAGCAGCAGCAGCAGCAGCAGCAGCAGCTTTCGGACTTTCGAAAGGAACGCAGCAGCAGCAGCAGCAGCAGCAGCAGCAGGAGCGAGTTTGCGGGCGTTTTGTCTCACCGAAGAGCGCCGCGGCCCTCTCCGCGTCCCCGATCTCTGCGCGGAAGCGGGAGAGTTTGTGGAAATTGTTTTTCTTTTCCCTGAAGCAGCTTTCGAGGGGCTGCAGCACTTCCTCAACTGCTGCCAAGCTGGCTGCCAGCGCAGCAGCAGCAGCAGCAGCAAACGCCCCCGCGCGCTGCAGCGCCCGCCGCCCCCCCAAGTCCTCTTCGGCCACCAACTCGAAAAAAAATTTGTCGCGCGCGTCGCCCGCAGTCTTCGCCTTTGCGCAGAAGTCCACTACGGAGCGCAGGCGGTTGCTGAAGACGGAGAGGGTCTTTATTCCGTACAAAAACTTGTCCTTCAAAACGCTGGGGAAGTAAATCTTTCAATCAATTAATTCAATTAATTAATTCAATTAATTAATTCAATTCAATTAATTTGATGCAATTCATTCAATTAATTCAATTCAGTGGATTCAATTCAGTGGATTCGATTCAATGGATTTAATTCAATGGATTCAATTCAATGGATTCGATTCAGTTGATTTGATTCAATCAGTTCGATTCAATGGATTCAATTCAATTAATTAAATTCAATTAATTAAATTCAATTAATTAAATTCAATTCAATTAATTTGATTCAATGGACTCAATTCAATGAATTCAATTCAATGGATTCAATTCAATGAATGCAATTCAATGGATTCGATTCAGTTGATTTGATTCAATCAACTCAATTCAATCAGTTCAATTTAATGAATTCAATTCAATTAATTAAATTCAATTAATTAAATTCAATTCAATGAATTCAATTCAATGAATTCAATTCAGTGAATTCAGTTCAATGGATTCAATGGATTCAATTCAATGGATTCAATTCAATAAATTAAAGTAAATTAAATTAAATTAAATTAAATTAATTAAATTAATTAAATTAAATTAAATTAAATGAATTAAATTAAATGAATTAAATTAAATGAATTAAATTGAATTAATTGATTAAATTGGTTCCCGAAGTACCCGAAAGTGGGGTGGGGTTTCTCGAGGTGGAGGCGGAGATAGCGGGCGACGGTGGCCTTGAGGTCGACGGTTGAGGTGTACGTACAGTTGGCGGGGTGTCTGGCGAGTTGGAAGAAGTTGGAGTTGTCAGAACTTGCAAAGACAGAAAAAGAAAGCGGAGGGAATTCCCAGTCGATCTCAGCGCGTTGGAGTTTGAAGGCTTTGCCCAAGTCCACTTCAAAAACCACAAAAGGGGGAATAGCATTTTTCGCAAACTCCGGAGAGGCCCAGTAGCTGCTGCTGCTGCTGTCCACTGCAGCAGCAGGCGCATGCAAACCCTCCGCCCGCGAGTGGCTGCTGCGCGCCTCTGCGTTCCGCGCCACGTCGCTGCTGCCAGCTTTGCTGCCTTCCTGCGACAAGCAGCTGCTGCTGCCCCGCAGCAGCAGCAGCTGGTTGTTCGCCTGCAACTCCCTGAAGCAACGCCCTCACGCTCGCAGCAGCAACAGACGCAGCAGCAGCAGCAGCAGCAGCTGCTGCTGCTGCTGCTGCTGCTGCTGCTGCTGCTGATGCAGCAACAGCTGCTGCAGCAGCAGCAGCAACAACAGCGCCAGCACCAGCACCAGAAGCAGCAGCAGCAGCAGCAGCAGCAGCAGCAGCAGCAGCAGCAGCAGCAGCAGGCGACTCACCAAACGCTGCGCCCGTCTTGGAAGTTGTATTCAACTTCGCAGTCTCCCAAAACGATTTCGCCTCCGTCTTTTACGTTGTTGTCTTTCAGGACGGCGCAGCGGCCGAGGACGGGGTTTCGCAGCTGGCCTGCGGAGGCGGGGCACTGCAAACCCTAAACCCTAAACCCTAAACCCTAAACCCTCACCTTTCTCCGTGAACTGCCACAGCGCGCGCTCGTCGCCATCCGCCGCAGAAGTCAGACAGCCGTCGAGCACGATGTCGCCGCGCTCGTCGCTTTGCAGACACAGGTCCTGAGGGTTTAGGGTTTAGGGTTTAGGGTTTAGGGTTTAGGGTTTAGGGTTTGGCGGACCTGGTGGGGACTTGTGATGCCGCTTTGAATGCGCACTACGGGAAAACCGCCGCCCAGCAGCTGCAGCAAACTAATCCCGAAGTACTGACTCTGCGGGTCTTTCATGAAAAGCCGAAAAGCCTTCAACTCCACCGGCCGCGGAAAAGTCAACACTTGACGAAACTGAGCTGCAGCGGGCGCGGCGCATGCAGGGGCGCGGCCGCGCGGTGTACGTACACCCCAACCACTCACGCCCCGCAGAATTCACGTCTTGGAAAGAAACCACTTCTTGAAAAGGCTCCGAGCCGTCGAAACTCGCCGCCACCGCCACTGCAACGGCCGCCAGGTTCACTTCAGCTTCCTCCAAACAGCAGCAGCAGCAGCAGCAGCAGCAGCAGCAGCAGCAGCAGCAGCAGCAGCAGCAGCAGCAGCAGCAGCAGGAGCAGGGAAGCAGCTGGGCAGCTCACCCTTTCCGGGTGCGTAGGCCCAGTGGATCTCGAGGCCCTCCACCGACCTCCGCGTTCGGAGCCGGCCTGTGAAGCTGACGACTTCGCCTCTGCGGTGGTTTCCCTCGGAGCACCAGTAGCCCGAGCCGCGAGTCAAGGCTTTGTCTGGAGAGAACTCCCGCAGGCCGCCGCGGCCCACACTTGGAAAAAAAGAAGAAGCTTCCGCGGAGTCCACGCGGATGTACGTGTTCGCCACCATCTGCTCCGCCCGTGTCAGTGAGACTGCGGCTGGCGAGGCGGAAAGCAGCAGCAGCGCCGCCACCGGCGGGCCCTTCAACAGCTGCCTGCAAAAGAAAAACATTTTGCATCAATTAATTCCAATAATTCAAAAAAGAAAGCCCCAACCAACTCCCGGGAGTGCCGCCTGCTTCCGCAGGCGGCGCTCCGCTTCCGCTGACACCTGCGGTGTACGTACACCTCCCGAACTGGATCTTGCAAATTCAACTTCTGCGGATTTGAACGCCAACACTTCAGGAAAGAAGGCCTTGCCTTCAACAACTTCTTGCATTCTTTTTTCTCGAGATCCAGCGTCTTCCATTTGCCCTTTTCGCACTGCATGCGCTTGGGAATTCGCAGAAACCGCCTTTTAAATGCAGCTTTTGCAATCAGAAAGCCGTTTCTCTGGCCAAAGAAGATCCGAATCAACACGCAGCAAATTAAAAGATGTGTTAAAGCTGCAAAGAATTAAAAGATGGGTTAAAGCTGCAAAGAAAACTGATCTTTGCTGCAGCAGTTCGCCCGCTGCGCAGAAAATTGAATTTTTCTGAACTTGCAAAGAAAGCAGCAGCAGTTCAAGTGATCCGAAGCCCCCAAACACTCGCAGCTTCGCAGCTGTCAGCAAATACTGCAAGTTCTTTTTAATTATATTTATTTTGTTTTTCAGATTCAAGTTTTGCGGCTGAGTCCTCTCGTCGCTGAAAACCAGCTTTCTTGGCTTCCCGCTGCTGCTTTGCTGCCTGCTGCTGCTGCTGTCTTTCATTTCATGTCTTTGTTGCTTTTGAAGATTTTTCCTCTTGGAAAGAAAAGAAAATTTAAAGTCTCAAACTTCCCCGCAGAGCTGCTGCTGCTGCTGCTGCTGCTGCTGCTGCTGCTGCTGCTGCTTTCCTGCTGCTGCACTGCAGCAGACCACTGGCGTCTCTGGTCTGCAGCATTTCGAATTTAAACTTTAAATTAATTCAAATTAAAAATTATATTTTTAAACTCAGGCGCTGTCCCTAGGAGGCACGCTGGGCTGTCTCTACACTGCGAGCTGCTGCGTCTCCGCCGGAATTCAAGTACGAAAAATCTGAAAAGTTTTTCCATTTTTAACTTTTAAAAAGTTTAAAATGGCAATTTAAAGATAATAGTTGCAAAGTGTCATTTAAAACTCCCATTTAACATCTTTTGAAAGCTTTCTGTTGGCTCTACATAAGTGAAGTTCAGAAACACAGCTGCTGCTGCAGCAGCTGCAGCACCAGCAACAGCAGCAAGAGCAACAGCAGCAGCAATTGCAGCAGCAGCAGCAGCAACAGCAGCAGCAGCAACAACAGCAGCAGCAGCAACAGCAGCAGCAGCAGCAGCAAATGTTCAGTCCGTAGCTTCTCCGTGTCAGTAACTCAAGAGCTGTTGCACAGCAATCCCCTTCTGCTGCCAGCCAGCTGCGGCTGGGGGCAGTCGGGGGGAAGTTGAGGTGTAAAAGGCCGTTTTAAAGATCTGTTGAGGTGTATGTACACCTCAGAGGTGTATGGACACCTCAGGAGCCGCCCCAAAGGCAGCGAGAAAGCAGAAAGTCCAAAAGAAAGTCCGAAAGAAACTCCGAAAGAAGAAGTCGGGGCTGCTCGTCTTCCCCCAAGCGGCTCAGCCCCGCTGAATGCATGCCTGCATGCATGCATGCAGCGGCGATCTAAAGAGTTGCTGCTGTTATTGTTCTTTGCAAGAATTTCAAATTGTTGAATTCTTTGAAGTTGCAAAGTTGAAGTCTGGGGGCCTCGCAGGGCCTCTGTGGATCGCCGCAGCCCCCGGGGTGGCCGATAGCCTCTGCTGCTGCGGGTGGATAGCTCGAGCGGTGAGCGCGTTTTCTCGTTTTATTCTTTTAAATTGATTTAATTTGCAATTAATTGTTCAAAAAAAAGAAAACAGCCGCGCACTTTGCAGCAGCGAGCCCGGGAAAC